TTCCGGATGAACAAGTCTCTGTTTTTGCATATCGTCGGAAAACTTTCCGGTGAATTTCGTTTCTTCCAACAAAAGAAAGATGCTTTGGGAAGACCTGGACTCTCTGCTCTACAAAAATGTACGGCAGCAATTCGTCTCTTGGCATACGGTGGTGCTGCTGATTCTGTAGACGAGTACCTCAGACTCGGTGAAACAACTGCTCGGTCATGTTTAGAAAATTTTGTTGAAGCAATAATCCATTTGTTCGGAGATGAGTACCTACGAAGACCAACACAGGAAGATCTTCAACGCTTACTTGATGTTGCAGATGAACGCGGATTTCCCGGGATGATAGGAAGCATCGACTGTATGCATTGGGAGTGGAAGAACTGTCCAACCGCTTGGAAAGGGCAATACTCCCGTGGATCAGGAAAACCAACGATCGTTTTAGAGGCGGTAGCTTCATATGATCTTTGGATATGGCATGCATTTTTTGGACCTCCAAGTACATTAAATGATATTAATGTCCTAAATCGCTCACCCGTGTTTGATGATATCTTAAAAGGAAAAGCACCGCAAGTGAATTTTTCTGTAAATGAATGGGAATACGGTCTAGCATACTATCTCACCGATGGTATCTATCCAAAATGGGCGACATTCATCCAATCAATTCCACTTCCCCAAAGCAAAAAAGCATCTGCATTTGCAGAACGTCAAGAGGCTGCCCGAAAAGATGTTAAGCGTGCTTTTGGTGTATTGCAATCTCGATTTGCTATTGTTAGGAATCCGGCTCTTTTCTGGGATAAAGATAAAATAGATAAAATTATGAGAGCTTGCATCATACTCCATAATATGATTGTTGAAGACGAACGAGATGCACGCACTCATTATAATGCAGTAGAAGAATTTCAACTAGGGGAGAGAACTAGCAGTTCACCGATAGATCGCTCGTACTCGACAACTATGGCAACAAATGTTGAAAATATGTTGGATACTCGGAGGAGAGTTTGTTCCAATAAAGTACATGAACAATTGCAAGAAGATTTAATGGAGCATATATGGCAGAAATTTGGTCATTTGTATATTTAGTTTCTATAAATGTTTTATGTTAATTTGTATGTTTAGTTTCTATAAATTTAAATCCATGTTTGGTTAAATTTTAATCAAATAAGTTTTTTAAACAATTATGATTTATTTTAATTTGGTAAATAATTCTTTTTTTTTAGAAACCTATATCAGTCTCTATTGCACAGATCAAAAACGAAATCTCTAGAATGGATTTCTAAACAAACTTTTTTCATATAAACTAATTTAATATTGTTGTGAAGACCTCATGGGTTTCTCCCATTGAAGTTGCTCTTAGTAACCTTAAACCCTAAAACCTCAGGCTCAGGGAGAAGGCATTTCCTCTGGTTTTTTCTTCTGAGTTTTTAGAGTCACCGGAAATGTACTCGTTTATTCTCCGGGAACGATCACGATCATTCACAGGGTCCTTGTGGAGCCGAATCTTCTCTCGAAACATGGGTGGTGGTCCGAGAACCTTCCCTGGAGGTCTCAACAAGTGGCAATGGAAACGTATGCACGAGAAGAAAGCCAGAGAGAAAGAGAACAAGCTCTTGGACCAAGAGAAACAGCTCTACGAGGCTCGAATCCGGTCCGAAATCCGAGCTAAAATGTTGGGAAACCCCGATTCCGGCGAAAAAACGGCGAGGTCGAGCCAGAGTCACGGACCGATGAGCCCGCAAGAACACATCAAATCCTTGGCTGATCGGTTTATGAAGGCTGGAGCGGAGGATTTGTGGAACGAAGACGATGGCCCGGTTAAGAAATCGGATCAAGGGTCAGGTTCAAATTCGATTGATTCTTCTTCTAATTCGCCAATTGATGTGAGGAGATTGGTTTATGGGAATCATGTTTCATTGGGTAATAGTAGGGTTTTCGATCGTAGAAGTAGGGGTTTTTCGAGTATGAGTAGAGGTAGATTTAAGAGAAATGAGAGTTCTTGTGATGAAGGAGATGACTTTGATGCGAGGAAGTTAGATACTTTGAGTCCTTTTTCTCCTAGTTTTGCTGGTAAGAAGGAGAAAGTGAAGAGCTCGAGTAATGTTAATGGAGTTATAAGGAACAAAGGTTTGTTTGGTCGAAGAAAGTTCAGGAAGAATGATAGCTCATCTGAAGAAGATTCCGAGGAAGAAAACGAAGGCAATGAGAAGATGAAAGGTTGGATGGATTTGAGGAGAAAGGGAAGCAGTGCGTCTTTAGGAAACCATGATATCAAATTGACTAAAAGAGTGCAAAGAAATGTCACCGATGAAGAGCTTTATTCTCCGCTGGATATCAGTACAGTAAGAGAAGATCTCAGTAAAAGAAAATCAGTGGAAAATGCATTGGAGGAGAATCTAGAGCCTCGTGACTCGATTTACAGTGGAAAAAGGTATAGTAACACACTGTCTTTTAAGGCTTTTAAGTTATCAAGTTTGGATCTCTTGATGAGCTTTTTTTTAACAGGTTTGATGAGTCTAGTATATCTCCGTTGACTCTAAAGGCGCTTTCTGCTTCTGGCATTGTTAAGATGACTAGGGTTCAAGATGCTACTCTCTCTGAATGCCTCGACGGTATGTATACTTTTTGTTCGTTCCTTATCTTTGTTTTTATTTTCTTCTCTTGGCTCAAAGAATTAGCATTTGACAAAAGATTATCTTTTGTGTAAAGCAGGTAAAGATGCGTTAGTCAAAGCCAAAACCGGGACGGGAAAAAGCATGGCCTTTTTGGTATTTTATAATCCCCTTGCTCCAGTATGATGGGCATTAGCTTTTGTTGTTTCTTTAGATAACGCTGTATAAATTGAAAAGTAGCTTCCTGCAATTGAAACAGTTCTGAAAGCTATGAACAACAGTAATAGTGTTCACAGAGTTCCTCCAATATTCGCTCTTATCCTCTGTCCTACAAGAGAACTTGCAAGCCAGCTCGCTGCAGAAGGCAAGGCTCTGCTCAAATACCATGAAGGAATCGGTGTTCAGACTCTGATTGGAGGTACCCGCTTCAAACTTGATCAGCAACGCCTAGAATCCGACCCATGCCAGGTTTTGATCACTCATGATTCTTGATTTTTACAAATGTTATATTAGCTACTCGTTGTTGATAATCTTCTTTTCTTCCGCACTTTGTTGCAGATACTAGTTGCAACTCCGGGAAGACTTCTGGATCATATAGAGAATAAATCTAACTTAACGTCGCGTTTGATGGCGCTTAAATTGTTTATAGTCGACGAGGCTGATCTCTTGCTAGACTTAGGATTCAGGAGGGATGTTGAAAAGATCATAGATTGTTTGCCTCGTCAAAGACAATCTCTTCTCTTTTCCGCAACCATTCCAAAAGAGGTATAATTGCTACATAAAACTAGCTCTAAAACTAATGAAATCCAATGCAAGAAAAACAAATGGGTTAAAGTCGGTTTAATGCAGGTCCGGCGAGTATCTCAGCTTGTTTTGAAAAGAGATCACTCATATATCGACACAATTGGTCTAGGTTGTGTAGAGACCCATGATAAGGTAAAACTTAAAAACTCTTTATTTCTGTCTTAAGAGCTTGATTCTTGAATCTGGTTATTGAGTTTCTTGCTTTGGTCTCTCAGGTGAAACAATCTTGTATTGTAGCTCCACACGAATCTCATTTCCACTTAGTTCCTCATCTATTGAAAGAGCACATCAGCAACACGTCCGATTATAAGGTAAACAAAACTCGTAAAGAAACACTTTTTTTTTTCTTACCTTAAGAATTCTCTCACCCATTCGATTTCATTCTCTCAGATAATAGTCTTCTGTTCAACCGGTATGGTAACATCACTGATGTACACTCTGCTCCGCGAAATGAAACTAAACGTTAGGGAGATTCACGCTAGAAAACCTCAGCTTCATAGAACACGTGTTTCAGACGAGTTTAAAGAATCGAAAAGACTGATTCTTGTCACGTCCGATGTCTCTGCTCGTGGAATGAACTATCCAGATGTTTCTCTGGTTATTCAGGTAAAGCGAGATTTTTATTTATATCAAGAACAAACTCTTATCGATATTTGGATGAATTTGAACTAAGGTATTTATGTTGTTGATAGGTTGGTATACCGAGTGATAGAGAACAGTATATACATCGACTTGGTAGAACTGGAAGAGAAGGCAAAGAAGGCAAAGGATTGCTTTTGATTGCTCCATGGGAGAGATATTTTCTTGATGAGCTTAAAGATTTGCCTCTTGAACCAATTCCAGTTCCTGATCTTGATTCAAGAGCTAAACTTGAGGTTTGTTTGAATTTAACTTTGATACCCCTTAACCGGAGACTGTCAAGTGACTGACATTGAGGACTAAATGTTTTGTGGCCAGGTTGATCAGTCAATGGCTAAGATTGATACAAGCATTAAAGAAGCAGCGTACCATGCTTGGCTCGGTTATTACAACTCAGTTCGAGAAACCGGTAGAGATAAAACCACGCTGGCTGAGTTAGCTAACCGGTTTTGCTATTCTATTGGGTTAGAGAAACCTCCTCCTTTGTTCCGCAGAACCGCGGTTAAGATGGGTCTCAAAGGTATCTCTGGTATTCCAATACGAAAATAAACCCGAACCGCGATGAAGAGAAATGTATCAAATTATGAAAGATGTATCTTTTTGTTCTACATGTGGCACCAAAATTTATAAATGTTTGTTATATCTTCAATCTCTTAATTATGATTTTTATTAAATAACTTCATCATTACTACTATCGTCTCCATGGACATAATTACCAAAGTGTTTGGATTATTCAGTAATGATGACTTGCTCAAGCATGCAACACTAGAGACTATTAGACGACAATTAGCACTTTATCACTGTATAATGGAATTATAAACTAAATTATTACTAGTTTCTTCGTTAAAAGAAAAAGAAGTGTAAAAAAAATAATTCAACTTCTCTCAATAAATGCAGGTAAAAAAATGGAGGAGATTTTATGATTTATTAACAATTATATAACGTTGGAGATAGCGACCTCTTAATCTAAAAACCCTAAACGCCTTTTCGATATAACCAGGACTCTTCATCTTCTTCGCGCCCGTCTGCTTCCTCATCTTCGTCGTCACCGCCAAATTGAACCTGGATAATGGCGGAAGCTTACCCGCCGGAGATTCGCTGCGTGTTTGTGGAGACCGACCTTGACACTAATCTCGCGGTTCTCGTTAACATCCATGAAACCATCTCCGATTTCAAAAGTGAGAAAAAAATCCACTTCTCTCTCTCCCAAAATTAGTAGATTTTGTCTTCATACTCTATTGAATCGGATTCTAAAATATTGGTGTTATATCCGGCTACATTGTTACTGCGTTTCTGATTATTGTGGCTTTGTATATGTAGAGAAACTATGTAAGCAGCATGAACAATGTCATCCAAAAGTTGGAGAAATCAATATTTCTGCTGTTAAGGTACGGCTTTTGCTGCAGAGTTTCATACATGTTTTCTTCTTCTTCTTCTTCTTCCGTTTTTGTTAGCATTTAGCAACAACTAAGGAGTGGTCTTTCTCTTACTTAAATCAGGTTAAACGTCGAAATCGCTTCTACCGCTTGCCAGATTGTATGATTTTGAGTAAAGCTTTTGAAGGAATCAATAGAAGCTGGTACATGTATGTTGATGCCACCTTAACTGTTGACAAGGGTGAGCTGCTTACTATAATGGATGCCGACCAAAATTGCTCAAACCACGAGTTGGTCGAGAAAAAGAAGGAGATTGCAGAAGATTCTGTACTTTTAGATGGGTATCCAAAGAGTCTGACTCTTGAAGAAGATTTTGAAACTGAAGTAGTTGAGAAGACATCAAAGAAGAGAAAGCTGAAGAGTTTGGATGGGGAGAAAAGTCGAAAGAAACCCTCAGTTGATCTCAATCAATCCGTTGCTGCTGCTTCGACTGCTCTAAGATGTGATGTTGATGGGAGTCATGAGTTAGGTGGAGAAGTTCAGGTTGACGTTGTTGCTTCTGAATCTTGTGCAGTTTTACCAAGAGAAACACTAGATGATGTTCTTACGGGAGCAAATAGAAAAGGTATGTTTTAATCATATGGAATATAGTTACTCTTGTTATCAGATCTTATTGGAGAGTGAGCACCAGTTTTGTAATTGAAACTCATAATGTCATCAATGATTATGTGTAGAAAATGAGAGAGATAAAATTGAAGCTGATAATCTGGCGAACCACGCGGAAAATCATTTGGACGCTAGCAGCGGGTTGACAACCAGACCAGATACAGAAAAGGAGAAGGATGCCGGCCAAAATTGTTCCAACCATGAGCTGTTTGAGAAAGAGAAGGAGATTGTAAATGACTCTTTACGTTTAGATGGGTGTACAATGAATCTGACTCTGGAGAAAGGTGTTGAAACTGAAGTATCTGAGAAGACAACTAAGAAGAGGAAACTGAAAAGTATGGGTGGAAACAAAAGCCAGAAGAAACCCTCAACTGATCTTAATCAGCTTGCTGCTGCTACAGCTGCTTCAAGACTTGATGTTGATGAGAGTCATGACTTAGGTGGAAAAGTTCAGGTTGGAGTTGTTGCTTCTGAATCTTCACCGGGAGAAAAGCTAGTTGATACTCTTATGGGAGCAATAGGAAAAGGTAAGCTTTGTTTTTAAATATATGGAATATAGCGATTCTTGTTATCAGATCTTATTGGAGAGTGTTTATTCATTAACTTTGGTCAGTTCTTTATTGAATCTAGTTATCCTCTGCTTTCAGTTCTCGGGGGAGTTTTTATTATCAAGTCATAATGTTATTGCTGATTTCTGTGTAGAAAATGAGATGGGTGAGAAATCTACCGAAGGTGTGGGAAGAGATACAGTTGAAACTGTTAATATAGCAAGCGACCGTGCAAATCCTTTGGACGTTTCCAATCTACAGAAAGAGAAGAAAAAAAGGCGAAAGAAGAGCTCAAAAGATGACATCAATCAATCTTCTTCTGTTGCTACTACAACTTCAAGAGATACTGTGAATGAGATAAACGGAGTTCCTGGAACTGTAGATCGTGTTGATGCTACTTCCGAATCTCTTCCAATCTCAAGTAGAGGAAATCTCGGCAATCCTTCTGCAGAAGCAAGACAGGAAGGTAATTTCAGTTTTTATTGACCTTAGTTTTCCTCCACAATCAGATCTCAGAGACTTTATAATATCAACTCATAACGTTTTTACTGATTCTGTGTAGAAAATAAGATGGTTGAGAAATCTGTCGAAGATGTGAGAAGAGATAACAATGAAGCTGATAATCTAGCGAGCCACCCGGAAAATTATCTGGACGCTAACAGTGGGTTGACAACCAGAACAGATACAGAGAAGAAAAAGAGGCGAAAGAAGAGCTCAAAAGATGACATCAATCAATCTTCTGTTGCTACTACAATTTCAGGGGATATTGTGAATGAGATAAATAAAGTTCCTGGAAATGTAGACCGTGTTGATGCCACTTCTGAATCTCTTCCAATCTCTAGAAACGGAAATCTTGGGAATCCTTTTCCAGAAGCAAGACAGAAAGGTAATTTCAGTTCTTTACTGAATTTAGTTTTCCTCTACAATCAGATCTCAGAGACTTTCTATTATAAAATCATAACGTTTTTGCTGATTCTGTGCAGCAAATGAGATGGTTGAGAAAACTGTCGAAGATGTGAGAAGAGATAATATTGGAACTGATAATCTAGCGACGGCAAATCATGTGGACGCTAACAGTGGATTGACAACCAGAACAGATACAGAGAAGAAAAAGAGGCGAAAGAAGAGCTCAAAAGATGATATCAATATTGCTGCTCCTACAACTTCAGGAAATATTGTGAATGAGAGAAACGGAGTTCCTGAAAATGTAGATCATGTTGATGCTACTTTTGAATCTCTTCCGATCTCAAGAAGTGGAAAACTTGGCGATCCTTTTGCAGAAGCAAACCAGAAAGGTAATTTCAGTTCTTTACTGAATTTAGTTTTCCTCTACAATCAGATCTCTAAGAGTTTCTACTATCAACTCATAAAGTTATTTGTTATTTTCTTGGTTGAGTATTGCTATTTTCTAAGAATTCATAGGCAGTGTTTCTATCAACTTATATGATATAATTGATGTGTAGAAATTGAGATGGGTGAGAAGATTGATGAAAATGTGGGAAGCGGTAATGCTATACCAAGTGCTGCAGAAACTATACAGACCAATAATGTTGACATAGATGCTGGTGAGACTAAATCTGTGAAGTCTACTAAGAAGAAAAAGTCCAAAAAAGCCAAGACCCTTTCTAAAGAAGATACTACGGTCGCTTCTGGTGAAAATGTTGAACCTGTCGAAGTTGTAGATGAAGAGCCTGATAATGTTATCAGAAATGTATTAGATTCTTTGCAAGAAACGAACGACACTGAGGAAAATCTGGGCAAAATTGAGAAGAAATCAAGCAAGAAATCGAAGAAGAAACACTCTTTGAAGGTTGTGGATTCCAAAGACAATGCTTCTCTGGAGAAGACTCCTCCCAACAACAACCCGGAAGACACAGATGCATTTCTCACGCCAGCTAGGAAAGATACCGAGAGCGATGCTTTGCATTGAAACAGAGTACTGTGGCTGCCGATAATACCGAGAGTAGTAGCTCTCCAGCATGTTCGAAAGAGAAGGCTGATATAGGAGACAATTTTGATTCTAGCCAAAAGGACGATACTGTTGGTGGGGGTAAGAAGCAAGAAGACCAAGTGACTAATGGAGCTAAATCTAAAAAGGAGAAGAAGAGGCTTAATTTGCATCCAGACGGTTCCATTGATGGCTCATTGAGCTCAATGAAACCGAAAGAGAAAAAAGGTAGAGTCCAACCAGCTAGTTCAGGTACTAGTCAGTTGCATTCAAGGGTTAAGAATGATCGCAGTGGATCCGTGAAAGTCGATGTCAACAGCAAGAAGGAAGCTGTGAAGAAAAGCTCCGAATCACTCACAGTTAAGACGAACTTCTTCAAGGATGCTGAGTTGTGTAATTCGTCAGACGATGAGTTAAAAACTTCAGATGTCTCAGCGAAAACACCTTTTAAAACTTCAGATGTCTCCACCAAAACACCTTCGGATATGTCATCAGACGATGACAGTGATGTGACTTCTATGTCTAGAAAGCAAGGTATGGACCCGAATATACCTTAAATCACATACTCTCTTTTTCTCTCTACCTGATATGCTAATTTCGATTGTTGATCTCAGCAGGAAACAATCTGTCTGGAGGAACAAACAGGTAACTGATCGGTTAGCAATAGTTTCTTCAAACTTAGCTTACACAACACTATATATAGTCATAAACTTGTATGCCCGTTTTGTGAACAGATTCTCAGGGAGCCTACAAGATATCCTGAGAAGATCAAGCAGTTACAAGAAAGCTTTACTGAGAGCTTCTCAGTCGCAACCAGATATATCCGACGATGAAGGCCTTGCGGTAGATTGTGTCCCAGATAGCCAAGCCGTCTAAAGCTTTATCGATGATCCTTCTTGGTTCAATGTTGACAGAAACCTGAAAAAAAAATGGGTGAAATCTTTGTCAAAATCACGGTTTTTGCTTCTTCTCTGACATTTTATGTTGATCAGCATAAGAGTTATACGGTTGCAACAACTAAAATGTTAAATCTTTAAAATTTAAATCGTGCGAACCTTGACATCTTTTTGAATGTATCGAAAGAAAAGCATAGTGTAATTCACTTCTTCAATTTGATTGTGTTATTGGTTCTTGTAGATTTACATGTGATAAACTCAATTTTTATCTCTTTGCAAGTTCCAATAAATTAGATGTTAAAAAAAGATTAAAAACTAAACGAGTTCATAAGTTTATCACAACTCCAAATATATAAACCAGACCGGTCAAGCATGCGGGTGACGGTTCGACCGGGTCGTTTTAGGTTTTTCTTCACACAAACTCTGTCGTGTTTTCGTGTCGTCGTCTCCGTCGAAAGAGTTAAGGTGTTTGTTGAGTCTGGTTCTGGGTTTATGCAATTTTCACTTGTACCACCGTAATTGACTCATTTGCTCTTCATTCCATTAGCCGTCTCTCTCATTCGAGAAGCCAATTTCTTCTTAATCAGAGAAAAGAATTTAGTTTTCTTTTTTACCTGGTTATTCCAACTTTTTGATTGTTGCAGAATCCAATCCAAGAATGAGTAGTGCGTTGAGTTTTAGTTCAATTTGCTTCGAACAAGGATGCTGGTTCAAGGTTTGTTCTTAACATCTCTATTTCAAATTTCTCATTTTTCCACATTGATGAAATTTTAACAAAAACAAACGCAAGTTTACAGCTTTCATAATGATTATACAAATCTGTGTTTCTACTTAAAAATGGAATCTTCTTTGTTTCGAAAAGGGGGAAAGGAAGATTCGGGTAGCGGATAAACGAGTCAAGATGCCATCTTCAATGAGCTTCAGAGTTTCAGCCAATAGCTCTGTTAATTCTGAAAAGGATATTCGTATTGGTCTTCTTGGTGCAAGTGGCTACACTGGAGCTGAGGTTTGTGCAATCTTGAATCATCTGTTTGAAATTCTAATTTCTTTTTTGCTAGTTTCAGTGATCTCTTTGAATTTAAAATGAATCAGAGTTTTAAGTGGTATGCATCTTGTTGCAAGTTCGTGGCTTTATGGGTATTGGCCTCCTTGTTTTAGCCTAACCATTGTACATATGCAAACTTGTGAGTTTAGCCTTTATAATCTAGAATATTACTTGTAAAAAAGACTGAAAAAAAAAAAGACGGAAAAATTTGATGTGTGAGGTATCTAAGTTTTTGATTCAAATGCATGAGTAAGTAAGTTTTGATCTTAACAAACATTTTTTTGGAATCCTTCTTTTTATTGAATGGCAGATCGTTAGGCTTCTTGCAAATCATCCGCATTTCCGTGTCACTCTGATGACTGCAGATAGAAAAGCTGGCCAGTCAATGGAAAGCGTTTTCCCTCACCTGAGAGCTCAAGTATATGTCTTTTCTATCTGTTCAATGATACTTTGTGGTGGCGTATAATGATCACTGGCTAAAAAAACCTTTCTTTTTTTTTTTCTGTCCTCAGAAACTACCTAGATTGATCTCAGTAAAGGATGCAGATTTTTCTACTGTGGATGCTGTGTTCTGCTGTTTGCCTCACGGAACAACTCAGGTCCATTTACTTTTTGATTCTTCCATTTCAAATATGCTTTTCATAGTTCAACGAGGGATGAGTCTTTGTTTTTCACAGGAAATCATCAAGGGCCTACCCACTGCATTAAAAGTCGTTGATCTTTCAGCGGTAATGCTCTGAAGAAATGGTATTTTTTTTTTTTGCTCTTTTTATTCCGGTGATATGCTTATTTAAAGTATGCTTTTTAGGACTTCCGGCTGCGTAACATCGCAGAATATGAAGAATGGTATGGTCAGCCACACAAGGCAGTAGAGTTACAGGTAATTTTCTCTTGATAGTTATTCCTTTGATTGTTGGTCTATTGTGTTTATGATGGTTACACTTACTGTATGTCTTGCTTGGGTTCAGAAAGAAGTTGTGTATGGTCTAACAGAGTTACTAAGAGAGGACATCAAAAAGGCCCGACTTGTGGCTAATCCAGGCTGTTACCCGACTTCGATTCAACTTCCTCTTGTTCCTTTAATAAAGGTTTTATTTTTGTCTTTTCTTTTCTTGGAATTCCAGTTTTGTCAGATTGTCTTGTCTTCAGTTCGACTCTAGGTAATGTGTTGATTTTTGGTGCAGGCAAATCTCATCAAACATGAAAACGTTATTATCGATGCAAAATCTGGTGTTAGTGGAGCAGGTTTTGATCTTACTTTACAGACTTAACTCATAAACAATGATGCAATAGAGAACTGTTTTTAGTTTCTTGACTGATATGAAATCTTCCATCAGGACGAGGTGCTAAAGAGGCAAATCTTTACTCTGAGATAGCTGAAGGAATTTCTTCTTATGGTGTCACACGGCATCGCCATGGTATGTTCACAAACTTATTGATCACAATGAGTAAAAAGTGAAATTTTATGTTTTGAATTCATTGTCTCTTGTGTGTTTCAGTTCCTGAAATTGAACAAGGATTATCTGATGTTGCACAAGCAAAAGTAACAGTCAGTTTTACGCCGCATCTCATGCCAATGGTACAAATGATTTCTTAAGCATGTTCTCTATAGTTTTCACCTTAAATCGTTGATGGAGTCTCGCTGTTTCGTTAGATCCGTGGAATGCAATCGACTATATATGTAGAAATGGCTCCTGGGGTTAGAACAGAAGACTTATATCAGCAATTAAGAACGTCTTATGAGGTGATGATTACTCTTTGTGTTATAACTTATAAGCCATTTCCTATGTTTGGTTACTTAATTATGTTTCCAAAACGTTTTGTAGGATGAAGAATTTGTCAAAGTGTTGGATGAAGGAGTTGTTCCTCGGACACACAATGTTAGAGGATCCAACTATTGTCTTATGAATGTATTTCCTGATCGAATCCCTGGAAGAGCTATCATAATCTCAGTGGTAATTAAGCATAACCATCCTTTGTGATAAACTCATCTTTAAACTTTTCCTGCAACGACATTTTGTATATTAAAAGCTTTGTGTTGCAGATTGATAATCTTGTGAAAGGAGCTTCGGGACAAGCGTTGCAGAATCTAAACATAATGTTGGGATTACCTGAAACAATGGGACTCCTAAACCAGCCGGTTTTCCCTTAAGAAGAGCCTTTTAAACGGTTAAAAAAAAAACTTATTTTCTTCTGTGTCTAGAAGATTTCTTCTGTCTTAAGTTGTTTGTAATCTACTCTTATTTTCACATGATCAATCTAAGCACCATGTGGCTGTTACGAAGACAGTGGAAAGCATAGAGATGGTTTTATGATTCATTATAAAGACTAAAGTTTCTCTTGTTAACATTAAAGAAAAACGGTTTTGTTGTTTGCTAAATAAGTTGGAAATAAACACGTTTCCTATAAACAATAATCGTTTAGTTTAATCACATAAACAAAGTTTTTCATAAGAGAAAAAAGCAAGATAACGTTGTCGTGAAGTGGATCTTCCCAAGCGACTCGGTTAGAGAACTAGACACATGTTGCCATCTTAGGGGACGAGAAAACACATAAGGAAATTAAAAGAAAAAAATGAATCCTATATGATTATTCTTAATTACAACTAAGATTATGATAGCTCTTCCAGGGATTCGATTCAGGGAATCCATTCATAATACAAAATTGTTGAATCCTCTAACATTATGTGTTCGTGGAGCAACTCCTTCATTCAAGACTTTGACAGTTCTTGGGTCCCTTACTATTTTGATAGGAATTTTAATTTGTAATTTTGTATAAATACTGTATTACAGTCGTGTGTGTATGTATATCACATATTCGTTGAAAAGCTGTTAATTTATTATATAAATTTTAGAAAAGTAATCAAGAGTCATTGTCGTTGATGCATGACCACCGTCAGATATCCCTAACGTGTCCTGATCGAATGCTCTTACAAAGTCTAAGAACAGTAAAAAACTCTGTTTGAAATGTATTTAAATTTTGTAAATGCGCAAATAGTAGTATATTGCATGCTATACTATTAACAGAATTCTTATTACAGTTTACAATATTCTCAGATAATTTTCTTTTAAGAAGTTTCCCAACATGCTTTATCATAAAAACTAGAACTATTATGCATTCAGAAAAGTTAGAAAGATGAGCAAAACTCTGAATGATAATGTATATTACTTTTGTATTATATCTCTCTAAAATATATAAGGCTGATCCAATATTTAAATTATATATAGACGTCTGACTTTTCTGTTCCCTTTTATAAACAGTTAAGACATATTGGTCGTAATTAAACCCAATTATTATAGTGCCTAAACTGATATTTCTATATGTTAACGCCTAAACAACTTGATGTCAAAGTTTCATAAACAATTATATTAAGGAGCCAAACAAAACAAAACAATTATTTTGCAAGTCAACTGTGTGACTAAGGTATCGACGAACCGGAGTGATCCACGCGGGCACTCGAACCCATTCACTAGATTACATGATTACCCTTAGATGCAATTCTTGTTTGTAAAAATGTCAATATTTTTGTTTCTCAATGATCCAAACGACATAACGTACGCTCCACGATGACTGTAAAAACCAAATTATAAAGAAAGAAAGCAAAAACCTCTCATTTACCTTCAGTTTTAAATCTTAATAAAATTTGCTCTGAAAATTAATGTAGAGATTAAGTTGAACTTATATCAATACTTTTTCCAATGAGTTTTAAGTTGACATTTCGTAAAAATTGGCCATGCATATACAAGGATAACGTGCACAGTATAAAAACATATTCCAAAAACCACAATTGTAAATTTTGTTATTGTTAACAACTTGTAGACACATACGACTGGAATTAAAATCATATGGCAAATGTTATTATAAACCACAAAAAAAATAATATACTCTGGTCATCCAAAACTGTAATTTATAAGCTTATATATATATATATATAAATATATACACAATTTCATCTATATATTATTTGTCTAGCTACGTTCGCTGTTACTTCAATTATTCACACAATGATTGCATAATACGTATACGATAAACTTTTCTTATAGGTCAAGGAAATGTTAGTTTCGTCTTTCAACAAGATGAAACTACCAATATTTAATGAGTTTACATGAATTTTGTTTGTTTCCTTCTCTTACAAGTCCATGCCAAGATCTCTTAATTAATATAAATATTAAGCTTAATAGCTTATATATATGACTCATCCACATCAAGCAAAAGATTAGTCGAGAAACCAAAAAGAAAAAAGAAAAAAAAACTTCCGGGACAAGAAAAATGAAACTTTGGAGCCAGAGATTATCGTTTCTAATGGTCATGGTCTTGTTTCTCGCCGGGCTTGATTTCTCCTCCGCCATCCGCAAGCTTCCTAGTATGACGGCGACAGAGATGTTCCACGAAGAGTTCCGGCGATTAAGATTTGACGGCGAGAGAATGTTATCGGAAGTGAGCGCCGGCGAGAAGTACGATCAGATTTACGGAGTTTCCGTTAGAAAAGTTCCCGCTGGTCCAAACCCGCTTCACAACAAATGATATGTTGCTTATTATTTATTTTATTTAGGTTTTTATTTGAGGAAGTTTTCTCTTTCTTTTTTTTTTTATATAAAAAAACAAAATCTTAATTGGTGTTTGTGGAGACATCATAGTGTATGATAGATATGCATAGAGAGATTTGTATTAGTTTTTGTATTCAAATTTATTACATATACGATGCAAAATATGTATCATTCCGTTGTTTTATTAATGTGTCTGGGAGCTGAGATTGAAAAGTAAGAATATAGATAGACTATTTTACTTTAGTTTTGTATATTCCAAATAAGCGATGCATGTATTTTAATATTTTGTTTCTGCCTTGACAGAGACAGAGTTAGTAATTTTTTAATTTCTTTTGTCCAATTCAAATCGTTCGCGTATCTCCACAGCTTTCTTTTCTTTTTCTTTTCTTACAATGAAATATGAATCTTTGGAGACGGTGTTTTAAAAATAAAACTAGTCTAATAAATAATTTGAAATTTCTTTCCTAAGAAATTGATCGGTCAATATATATGAACACAATAAGGAGAATAACAAATAGGTCATCCATTAAACATTTAAACAAATGGTAGAATAGAATTATAGAAGTCGACAAGAGTTTAAAATAGTAAAATAATTATAGAAGCCGCCTTTAATAATATAAAACAATTTCCGTTTTGGTAATGATACGAGATAATTATGAATTTACGAGTCAAAGTCAACAAAATGTGTAGGCAGGCACGGCCATGAGTTTGAGTCGTTTGACCATAGAATCAAGAGAATAACAATTTATTTTCAAAATGTTGGGACAATTTCAAAGTATAAGCATGATCACATTCACAACCTTACATGAAACTGATTACTTAGTTTTTATAGAGCCAAGGTTTGTTGCTCTTCTATGGAAAGTCGAGTGTGAAAGAATTAGAAAACGAAGTCAAGACAATTAGTCAATTATTATTCCGTCATCATCAGTTTGAGAAAATTATCCTATACATTGAGGAAGTTTTATGAAAATAGGAAGACAACCAATTTTGACAAGTAATTAATATGGTTGATATATCAAAATCAATTTGCATGCGGATCTAACATATAGTTCATCTGCTTTTTAATATTGATGTTTCTTTATTTTATTTTTCTTTCAATATAAATGATTTTCTACATATTAGTGCAAAAATACATAGTTTGGAGTTTTTTAAAAATAGTTGTGTAATAAACTAAATTATCATTTGATATGAAAATGAAGGATAGTTTTAGTTGGCCGGTAAAACTTATTATTCAGCTTTAATTTTCAAAAATTTTGTTTTCCAATAATAAATGTATGTCACTTTTTCAAAAAAGTTTCTTCTTAATTTTAAAGCTTGTGGAGTTTGAAGTCCAAGAAAAAGGTTGGAGTTACTATGGATTATAAATATCTTATAAGGACTAAACATGCAAAGCTATCAGAGATTACTGTCACGTGTCTCCTAAAGAATACCACGTCACCGATATTATTAGTGTCGCTCTCAGACACACACTGTGACAGCAAAAACCTCATCACCGGGAAAAAAAAACCTCTGTTTCAGGCCGAATCTTCTCACCGGAAATGTTGCGTCAGCTTCCGCCAACATTAACGGCGGACCAAACGCCGGACTGGCTTCCCGTAGGTTGGATTGCTCATTCTACGGTTCTGAAACGCGGTCGCCAAACTAGGGTACCACTTAAAAACTCTCTACTGTAAAAATCTTGACTCTTGTCGCTTGTGTTTTTGGTTCTTTCTTCTTCGGTTCTCTCTGCTTCTTAGTTTGTTGAAGCGAAATTTGTTTCTATTTTCGGTTCACAATGCAGACATGGGTCTTTAACTTCTCTGTGAAAACTTTTGGAAAAAAACTCAGCTTTATTTTTAAAAAATCGACCTCAAATCGTGAAAATTTACGAAATCCCATCATCAATTTGAGAAAATTGACTTCAAACTTGAGAGGAATCATGAAAACCCTTAATCGATATGAACAAATCGACCTCAATTTGAGAAAGTTTTGAGAACATTCGACCTTAAATTGAGAAAAGTTTATGAGAAATACGTTATCAAATTGAGAAATTTCCGACCTCTCCTTGTATGTTTGTTGTTTGGATTGTTTTATGCATGCTGATGGAAAAGTTGCAAATGTTATAATTTTGTAGACTTACACGCATTTGAGAACGGGTAAGAAGCTCTATACAAAGGATCAAGTTCTTGAGTACATTATAATGGATAAAATACGAGAGAAAAGACAATCCGGAATCGAGCGAAAGAAAGCAAATGTATGATTCAAGACTTCCAAGTTCGGTTTTTTTAAAGCTCTTTGCTCTGTTATATAATGTTGCCTTCTCTTGTTGCAGCTAAAAGCCTTACAAGATCAAGAGATCGCAAGAGAAAGGCCTTCATGGCCTCCGGATAATTGGAAAGCAGACCTGAGGACTGGTTCTTATGTTGGAAATCCATATACGGTAATAGCGGAGCTCTCTTCGATTAGTTTTAGGCATTTTGTTATCAGGAGTGAAAGATGTTTTCTTTTGTAGATACATGAGAACATGTCAACTAGTTTCAAACCCCATTCAAAGGAAGAAGTACCTCACTATCAGAAGAACACTATGGAATCTGAAGCTTCCTCAGAGGAAACCGGGATCAATTACATTGTAAGAAATTTCGTTTTTTTTTTGTTTGGAATCTTGAAAAAAGAGGTTGTAGCTGATAGATACTTTATCCATGATGTGTGTTTTACAAGACATATGATACGGATGAAGAAGATTACTCAGAGAATGAATATAACGAGGACAGATGTTCCAGAGAGAATGTGGAGAATCTCTCTAACATGACTACCTCTACTCCTGTAAGTGAATTTGTTTCCGCTTTTCTTATGTTTGATTCGTCGCTGACATGTAATGATGGACATTTTATGTTTTTCTTTAATATCGTAGCTACGGTTACTGCCTGAAAGATTGCAGAAATTGGAGTCCCGAGCAATAACACAATGTCTACTTGAAGGTAAGCAGATAAAGAAGTTTGTTGGTAAGTGAAATCTGTCGTATCTGAAAACATCGTTTCTCTATGCAGATGAGGATATGAGTAGTGACAATGAAGAAAAACATCTAGACGTTGAGACCTCGAAAGAAGAAAATGCTTTCGAAGAGACTCAGGTTGTATCTCACTTAGTCGAGTCTTTTGAAGAGGAAAGCTTGCATGACGTTGTGGTTGAGTCTGTCGAGAAAACGAGGGAGATCCCAGGTTGGACTGGATCATTTAGTATTGAAATCAACCTGGAGTGCGAAGATAGTTTTTTAGAGAAGGATTGGAATGAAAGTAGGACTGAAAAAATAGGAACAAGAAACATTGAGATCAGAGACCAACAAAGTGACTTGATGCACGTAAGTGCCTCATCAAAGGTTGTTGAAGTGACTCAGGAGTCAGGAGACAAGACTGAAGAGCCTCTTAAAGCTCAAGCTACGCAGGAAGAAACTGCTGATGATTCGAGAACATCGGTCTTCTTTCCATATAGAGAAGCCCCTTCACATTCTGTACTTGTCTTTGACAATTCCAATGCTAGATCATCTGCAGATGATCTCAACAACGGCATTGAGCTTGGTTTGAACCCCTGCGCTGATATCCCGCAAGAAAAGAACACAAGTGGCTCTAAAAAGCGGAAGAAGAGCCCAAAACCATGTTCGTCTAAGAACGTCAAGAAGAAAGACAGTAAAGCACAAACTGATAAAGGCCGGAAAGGCAAAAGAACACAAGGAGAAAAGGGAAGTTGGAGTGTAAAGATGGAGAAGAAACTTGTTGATTGGCCTGAACCGTGCCCAAACTTCCCATTTGAACCTATCACAAGTTCATTTCCCATTGAGGATGACTCGGTGATCCGCAGGTACATTGAGCAACACTTTACAGCTGCAGGTAGTCCTGATAGCAACCTACCTTTACCCGATTTTGGATTGCCTAGCTTCTCCAACATCAAGATTTCACTGAATGAAGAACCTGAATCCAAGAAAAAGAAGTCTCCTGATCCTCCATGCGTACAGGTCGCAAGTTCAAGCTTGCCTAGTTGCAGGTCCATGAGTGCTACTATGCAACAGCCAGTTGCAGGAAACTAGCGAGGCATCGTGGCTTCACAAGCTCTATAGTTTAAGCTGTACAAAGACCTTTTTGTAAGCAGAATTAGTATGTGTATATGTATGTACCTAATAACTGTAACTTATGATCATAAACGACTCTAACAGTTATGTTGTATCTTCAGTCTTTATGTATATGGTATGTATATTGCTCTTTTGCTTAGACAAGACCTCGTTTAACTCTTGTATGTAAAGATTATTGTGCTTTTCCAAAAATAATATGTTTTTTTGTCTTGGACCTCTTAGTATGTAATAATGAACTTGTTTACTCTATTTTACTCCTAACTTTTATAGATTACCATTTCAGGCCTTATATTGAGAAACTCTCATAAGCTTCACATGTCTCTGCTTTTCTTCTAAGATGATTTGAGATAGAGAACATGACCAAACTTAATGACAAAACAGAGCTTGAGACGACAAAGGAAAAACAGAGCACAATCCCAACCTGAGCACTAAGCCGGGAAGCCTAATAAAGATTCATTCAAGCCCAAATCAGGAGATAAACACAGAAAAGTCAGAAAACAACACCAAAACAAGTCTTGTAGACTCAAGAAATGAAAAATCTCCATACCAAAACAAGTGTGACACAATTCTTGACAAAAGAATCAGAATCTCAGGAGTTTTGAATCATAAAATCCAATCTGAACTCAAGAATAATAATTATAAGAAGAAACTCTCTAAAACGACACACCCTTTCAAATGGAAAGCTCAATATTTTATCCCAAGACTCAAATCAAACATTGTTTTCTTCTCTTAGTATGATGCTTCAGAGTTTTTCCAGCCTCCATAAGACTCCTCTTCGAAACCCCTGCTTCGGTCCTCCTATAAAACACCCACCAAACAAACACATTGTTCTTCAGGCGTCTACTTAACATGTAAGAAAAAAAACCAAATCAAGAACGATGCAAGATATCATTATGTAGTTTTATACCGAGGGTTTGAAGGATAGTGCGATCCAGATCTCGCCTTTGAACTCTTCATCTTTCACCACATTGTATGCACTTGGTGGGATATCTCCTTCCAAGAAAACCGGCTCCAATGGAACACTGCAGCATTGTTTCAAAACATATCTCCTCAGGTTTTAAAACCAAGCAAGATTCTTTTATGGTTATGAAAGAAGATGTTATTGAAGATCTTACGTTGCTTCACCAACCGCATCATCCTCTGTGCCAACATCTTTGTCAAAGATTTTCGCTTTCAACTCTGTAGTTCCTTCAGAGACATTAAAGATAAATGTCTCATTCCACTCCGGAGTTGTGCCTTGTCCTGCAAAAATTCATGATTTTTCAACTCTTGGAGCACAAAGATCAATCTTTTCGCACCTTGATCTTGATTGAAAACTTACCTGGTGCAACATTGCTCTTCTGATCTTGAGTCCGACAAGTGAGAAGCACATAAGGATCCATGTTATCTGTTTAAAAGCCACACAATCAGTCAACGAAATATGCAAACTATGCAACCTATTTTCTATCTTTGATCTTCATCTTGTAAAAAAAGAAAAAAAAAAACAGATTTTACATGTCCATAACCATCATTTAGGCTAGATCATAAGAATATAATTATTTCGGATTAGCAGAAGATCAAGAATTTACATTTTTGATCTTAATCTTGAAAAAAAATCCAGATTTATATGTCCATAAACACAAATTAGACTAGATCATAAGAATAAGTTTATTTCGGGTTAGCAGAAGATCAAGATCAAGATTTATAACATCGATTCGCATTTTTCGACGCAGAAAGTTCGGATTTTTCTAGTCAACAAACAAAAATCTCCATCAAGAACATCAGATTGGGGCCACCATTTCACAATATTGAATATTTGATCCAGAAAAGGTCGTCGAAACATTCAAACACGTGCGCATACAACATTCGCAGATTTAACACGTTTGGGACAAAACCCATCAAGAAAACTATAACGGGTTCTAAAGATTTCACAAAAGAATCAGTTTTTACGAAAGCTTACTCATAAAATCTGTGTCCTCAAGGCCTTTAGCGCTGACAAGAACAACTTCAAGCGTTCCACGAGGCATTTTTTTCTCCTCTGATTTTTTTTTTAAAATTCTCAGAGAAAAAATGAAGATTCAGATCCCAATAGAGAGATGCAAGGCTTTTGTCTGATTGGTTGGATCTTTAAGAAATCAGTCTCTTTCAGTTTCTGCACGACAATGTGGAATTATATATTTGAAATTTTGGGATTTAGCTGTAGCGCGTAGGCGCGTAAAACCAACGCTCATTGCCAGCTTTTTTTCCCTTTTCATTTCCTTCATTAGAGTAAATAAAAATAGTTTTTCTTTGTTGTTGTTGAAATAGTTACAAAATTGGGTCAAACTTAAATATTTTCAAAACTTATGACATTCTTGATATGTGATACAGTCTTCATATTTGTTATGCTTTTTAGGACTTATGACATTCATCTATTTCAGAGCTTATTTGATTATGAATGTTTTTCTTTCTAGTCTAAATTTAATTTGTTATATTTTTTTGATGAATACTATAAATAACAACATAGAAACATATGACAACCCAATACTCTAACTATTATATAATTCATTACAAAAACGCACAATGACATTGATTTACTACCAGTTATGATAGAATCTCTAAATGACCGTTAGATATGTAGTTCTGTATATATTACAGTAAAAATAAGAAATGTTACCAAACAAAAACTCTACAAATAGTTCGGTTATTTACTGTGATTTTGATATCTATATACTTTTATTAAAATTAGATTGATTTTGTTGGAATAAGAATAAATGCATAAAAAGGAAACTTAATGAAATATTACATATTTTTCAGAGGCATGTATTCTTTTTTTGGGTATATATTCTTAATTTTCCCAATATCACTAATGTATTAATAAGTAGAGTATAGGAGAAAAATTGGTATTGGATAATCTCCACCACAAGCCTTACGATGCATAAAGTACATAGGTTTCAAAAACAAACAACTTCTCCCACATGGGTTCCTGGCATAAAAAGCAATCAATCAAAGAAGTTCCTTATGCTAAAAAGTCAAACAATTCAGATAATTCAATAGTACCAGACCTAATTTGATTAATAAAGCATTGGCTCATGACTCATCATTCATATGCCTCTTGAAATAAACAGAGCTGGCCAATTCAACCTTAGTCTCTTAACATTTCTCCTGGGATTTTAAATAACTTTTCACTGTAAACTTCAGTTCCAAAACCAAACCACTTCTCCCATATGGGTTTCTTGCATAACAAGCCATCAGTGATCAAAAGAAGTTCTCTAGGTTAACGAGTATAACCATTCATAAAAATTTTGATTAATAAAGCACTGGCTCATCATCCATGTGCCTCTTGAAATAAGCTACAAGCTTTCCAAGATCCCCAAACATCCTTTTCCTGAACTTGAATCCCTCTGAGTATAAACCAATATACTCATAGTGCAGATTTGCGCAACGTATGTAAGACAATATGAAGCTTCCTGGATGTTCATATGAAACCCCCAAACCGTAAACTACCATTGTCGGATTTTGCTCCTTCTCAGCCCGAAGAAGATCATCTACTTCCGACTTTGTACCGTTCCGGAATTTCCGGTAGTTAAGCATTGTCCTAAGATGAACTACCAAAGAATCAACGTACCGATCCATTACCTGTAGTTTTTAATAACACCCAAACATGTTCAAGATTTGGTTTCGAATTAATGTGGCGATAGAAAGCTCTCATTGTCTCAAACCTTAATCCAAACCTCTTACGAGATTTTAGTCTGCCTCATTGATAACACATTAGGTGTATCCACAACATCCACGATATTTTCGGATCAATACTAAAGTGAATTACATAATAGAAAGAAAACAAACCCGAACATATGGTCTTTTGACCGTTGCGAGTTAGCTATCCTAATTTTTACCACATCAAAATCACTATTATTAAAACAAATCCAAGCATGATAATTCAATGTTTTGATCGTTCGACCACTAGCCAAAAACTCATATTTTAAAAACTTTACAATGGATTCCAGAACGTTCATGTTTAGTAGTCATATAAATCAAGGCATATCAAAACATTCTACGGTTTAAATACAAAGATTGTGATTACAATTTTAAAATAGACACTTGCAACTGTCTTAAGAATAATGTTTTCATTTCGTCAAAGGACTTGATGGAGAAAACGCTCTGACGGGGTTTTAAAGATATAAGTAAGTTTATTGCTTGACATCCACGAAACCTCTCGATACCCTCATATAAGAAAAAGGCTTCTTTTCTGTACGTAAGAATACCTACACCTACGTATACCTTGCTTGGCTCGGTACTAGGGGGTGTTATTGGAGAGTTGATTTATAAAGATTTTTAGAGTTTAAGATTCTATATTTATTAGTTTGTGGATTTTTATATTCTTAATAGATTCCTCTGTTATTCATTTAGAGATTATAAAAATCAGTTGTTATTGATATGATGATTTTTATAATCTAATCAAAATCCATTGTTATTCAAAAAGTCTGCATTTTAATGATTTTATGATTCTGTTATAATCTAGTGTTATTGGCATAATGATTCTTTATAATTTAATTCATAAATCATGATTCTCAAAATACTACCTATATCCCTTGGATTCTCAAAATCTGTCATATTAAAAAATTCTTAATAGATTATTTAAATCCATAGAACTCTCTCTAAATTTTACAAATCCAACAAAACTCTTAAAAATTTGACAAATCTCATGATTTTTAAAATCAACTAAACTTTTAAACTCTTAATGTATTTTTATTTTTTAGAGATAAAAAAAAGAAGGTTTTATACATCAATTACAAAACCAATGGCTTCATTTAAGTTAAACCCTATCAATTGCTTTAACAACTCAGATTGGAAAACAAAACAAGTGTTCATTTCTTTTCCTATTTTTTCGCCATGGAAAAAAAAAAACTAGCAGTATCACCAACCAGTGATGCTTCATCCAACGTTGGATGAAGATCTTTAAAATGATGATGAAGATAAAAAGTAGTTTGGAAATTATGAAGACGTTTTAATGTTTTAAGAAGATCTTTAAAATGATGATGAAGATAAAGAATAGTTTGGAAATTATGAAGACGTTTTAATTTTTGTAAGGATGTGCTTCAAAACTATAATGTTTAGTTTGGAAATTTGCTGCACAACAATAACGTAATTCAGATAGGGGCCGGGACCATAATGAAAAATCGGGTTGATAACGATTATGAGAATCAGCTTCATTATGGTCCGGGCCCCTATCCGGATCCTTGACTTCAAACATGATAAAAATACATGATCCCCCGTGCACTCATATCATAATCGATAGACTCACTTAGTCACTAGACACTAAACTCTAGTTAAAGTTTGAACAACACAAACGAACGAAGCAAATAGTAAACAGTACTAGAGATCTGGTTAGGTTACTACAAATTTAAGTAGGACATAGGTAGATAAAAAAAAGCATCATTCGATTATTTCAAGAGTCCTTGTTTCTCATCAGGACTGGCTCAAGATTTTACTATCATCATTTACTCTAAACATTGAACAAGGCAGTCAATTATCATAACCGGATCTGGGCACAGTCCAATGAAACATTTATATTGGTCTCCAATATTTTTTTGAGGTTATACATAAATATTTTGCCCCCCCCAAATTAAAAAAAAAATATATATATATATATATTAATATTTTTCTTAAATTGTTTATGGTACCATATTCTTCTGTCAACCTGAGCATATCAATAAGAAACACAAGAAACATTTACATCAAAGTGAAAAAGCCATGAAGTAAAAAGACATTTGTAGATAAATTGATATTTCATATACTTTGGTTTCTTGGCACTTTCTTTCTCCACAGTCTCAATGGAGTGAACTGCCAAAAACAATCCAGATAGGTACGCACAATATTAATTATTAACCAGTTTCAAATTGATCATAACAGAAAACAGACAGACCCATCTTCCTAAGAAAAAGAGGCAAAAATGTAAATAGAAACCTTAATTAGATGCCTATTATGAGATAGAAACAATTTACGTCTGCAAAATGGGGGAAATAAGAGAGTACCATTTTTCTCAGGTTTCAGATCGCAGGAGATGTGAATGTTCGAGTCAATATCGGAATAGTGGACCTTAGCTTGGAAGTTTTTTTGGCTCACCATCAAAAGAATCTTTACCACGCTTCAATGCGAAAGCTACATGTTCCAGTACATAAATCCATTCTCAGACAGGAAAACGATATTAGGGATATGATCGGTACTATTTTATGTACATAACCTTCAATTTTAGAGTTAGATTTGTACCTGGAATCTGAAATCACCTTGAGTTTAGAAACAAAATAAGAACTATTTTCTTTAAATGTTTTTCACAACTCAGATTAAAAAAAAAAAAACATTAGTTCTTATAGTTTTTCATTAAAAATCATCCTGACATCGACAAAACCAAAAGAAAAAAAAAAGTCTTTTCGCTGGGGTAGCTTAAGGAAAACCAAAACTACAAGCCCAAGAGGCAAAGATCAAGAAATTTAAAGGGACTTGAATGAAATAAATGGAAATTTAAAAAGTTAGGGTTTTTATTCATCAACGAAAGGAGAAATTTTTGATTCGTGACGAGCAATGGGTGAATTCGAATTCGAAGGTACGATTCAGCCCGTTTCGCTTCTATGAAATTTTAAGTTTTACGTAAAATCTAGCCCGATCGATTTCGATTAGACGTCTCAGGCTGGACTTAAATGGGTCGAACCTTCGGTTTATATTTGATGTGGGAACCTGATCATTCTGACTATGAGCCACCTGTCTACGATCTTGATAAGGCTAAGTACACTCCAGAAGAAGAACTTGCCAGAATGTGCACACAAGTCAACCAAAGAGATGTAATTTTCTTCTCTTATCTTATGGTTTTGGTTAGATGAAATCACATCAGCTTTAAATTTTGTGAATTTGAGGGTTTGGTTGTATGTGAGACAGGGTTTTAATATAGAATTCTCATCCTTCCACTGCGTTTTCAAGTACCATCAGGCTTATCTCAATTGGCATGAATTCGTGGATAAGCCGAAAACCACTGGGGATTTACTCAAAAGCCTCTCTCAGAAATCTCTTGAGGACTACAATGAAAATGAGTTAAGAACTAGTCTTTTGTTTTTTTTTTTCCTTTGGTTTAATTTAAAAACAACGAACCAAATTATGAGGGTCTGTGAGAGAGAACATGACAGAACTTATCATAGAAAATGAAGCAAGACTGTGTTTAAGTATTGAAAGGTTCAGTTTGGTACGTGAAACCCATCCTCTCCCTTAATCATACTTCATGTCTGATTCCTATGAATATTTTTTTCTTTACTGGTTAACACAAGGACCTGGAAATGACTACATAGTAAAGGAGGAAAACAGAAGAAGATTGAAGCTGGTTGCAGGTCCTATTCGAAACCAGATGACACATTTAATGTGTTGGGCATATGCAGTCTGCGATTTGATCAGTTGGTGTAGGGTATTACACGGATTAGACAAAGAGTTTATCCCACTCTCTTAGATGTTCTTGTGCTGAAATGTTTATGAAAAGGAGTATCCAAAATATTGCAAAGCTAAGAATGATGAATAACACTGTTGCATTTCTAGTACTCTATATGAAGGATTAATGTACGCTAAGATATATGGAATAGTTAGAGAAAAATCCGAAGAGAGTGTATTTAATTGCCACATGTCAAAGGAGTTTAATGGAGATGCATAACACTCCAAGATAAACAAAGTCTTTGCGTATGAGTCTTTGCGTATGAGACTTTAGAGTTAGTGTTAATGCGTGTGAAAACAGGATTTCCGGTTGCTGCAACATTACTATGCTTTGAGGGTTGGGATAAGCGTTGGGAAGATAATGATCAATCAACATACATTTATGATGGCCCGAAATCAGGTGGTAAATATCTCTGTAAGCATGTCGTAATCATTATTGATTTCAAAGTAATCAATGAGATTAATTAAGGTAGCAATTTGCAAATCTAGCAATGGGAAAAATAAGCATAATCGTGGATACATGGTTGTGAATGTTGAAATAATGATAACACTGGTTGGTGCCACAAAAAGAAATGGTAATCCAAATTGGTATAAAAAGAAGCCACAGTATCTTCTAGAAGATTTCTTCTCGATTGACATGGAAATGGGTTCTGAGCCACTAATAAAAGTGGAGCCAGATCAAGCAAAAGAGAACATGGAGTTATAAGGTTTGTGTGGGTGTTGTGTTTTGTTTTGCAAGGGAATAAACTTACTCAATCAAGTCTAGTATATTCCATTAAGGATCTGTAAACTATACACAAAAGCATATAATAGTCAAGATCTTTGTTTAATTCTTTGTTATGACTTTTATTGATACTGTTCTATTTCAAATACACCAAAAAAATATTATAAAAATCACTATGGGACCTTTTTGAGCATATTCTAGTTACCTTTCTAAAATTGCTCATGTTTAAGAATATTGATTTTCTTCTGGTGCTCATTTTACTTTCATCTTCACCCACCTTATACTTAGAGGGCACTAGTCTACGCCTCTCACCATCTTCCTGCACACACAAACACAATAATTTGCAATGAACTCAAAATACAAAACCACAAAAGAACCATGATGTGACAAGATTCTTTGGTTCATCTATATCTTTGCTATTTTAATCTGTAAACCGGTTTAAGCGGATAAAATCCCAACCACTTTGGTTGACATGATTTTTGATTTATCAGCAGTATTTTTTTTTTTTTTGATTTCACTTAATGGATCTAATCAATTTTTTTGTTTGTTTTTGTTTATCTCTTTTTTACTTTTATTACTCTACTAACCAAAATTATCTACTGGTGTTTGCATATTAGATTTATGTAGTGTGCATAAATTGTTCAGTTTTGTTTGTAGTTGCATTTACCTTCCACATCTAATCATGTAGTATGAAGTTCTTTTTAACACCGAAATACATTACCTCCTTTCAATGAAATGAATAACATTTGTACAAAAAATCATTTGGATTCTGATTTTGTTTGTAAACAAAAACATATTATCTTACTTTTACTTTGTCACATGCCTTTGTGCTGCTGGTCTCATCTTTTTCCACAATGCATTGCACTCTCTTTCTTTAACCACACTATTTTCCTATAGAAAAGTTTTCTGATCCTTTGTAGTTTTTGAGAAATCTATTAGTAATTTTTTCATCAAAATTATTTTTGAAAAATGTCTAGCAGAAAGTGATAAAAGCACTCGGAATTTTTGGTGGATATAGAGATTAGGTGTGAAAAGTTTGTTAAACACTACGGTCCAACAATATCATATGCATAAAATTCTGTTGGTTGGTGAATAAGTTTTGAAGATAGTTATACGAATGATAGATAACTAAGAAATAAAACTTACCATGACTTCTTTGATAAATTGTCTCCAGCAAAACAATTGTTGTTTTTGGATCTTTCAATTCATATTTTACTCACACCCATCAAGGAGATCTTTCAAACAATTAACCAAAAAAAGTTAGAGATTTGAATGTGACAAATATAAAACATAAATAACAAGTATGTCATTTATACATCAAGAACTTGTGGGTGCGTGTATATCAACAAACAAATGTGTTGGTAACATTCATTTTTATTATGTCTATTCTGATTATTGTTATTCAATATCACAAAATAACTAATTGCATCTGAAACTATTATATTTTCTTTAAGTATTTTTTATTTGCCATCTTTTCAAAAGTAACAATAATCGAAAGTAAGAATTAGGAAGAAAAAAAACAAGGTGAAATCTGAGGAAAAAAAGAAAAGAAAAAAGGTAGATTTTGGGCTAAAGCTAACTATCTTGCTGCATCGAATCTTATACGAGTGAAATTGCCTATTTATGTTTAAATCTAGTTAATCCTTATTAATGTGATCATTACATGTAATATAAGATGCGCTTATTTTTTAAAAATATGTTGAATACTCTATTTTGTTAAATTTTGACATAAAACAAGAAAATATGAAAACTGGTGAAGATTCAAATTTGCATTGTGTACACTAATATACGATATGTTATTTTTAAATGTGTGTTATTTTATATTTGTTTAACATCAGAAGGAAAATAATGTGAGTTTGTCAAGGGTAGGATTCATTGAGGATATTTTGTGAAGTTTTGCTATATATTGATTTTCTGTTATTTAGATTTTCATCGGGCTTGACCATAATGTATATATGATATATATATTTTTTACACTTTTTTCAATCTATTTAATTGATTTTTGTTTTTTCTTGTTTATCATTTTATAATTTTACTATTTTATTTATTATTATGTTTTTTATGTAACTTGATTTTTATATATATAAAGATAAGTGTTTAAAAAAAAGTCTAACAAAAACTACGAGGCCAAGAGACAAAGATCGAGAAACTTCAAGGGATTTGAGTGAAATAAAGGGGAAATATTTGTGGATATTTCTAGAAGAAGGGGAACAAATTCACTTTCCCAAAGCGGAACAAGAAAAGAATAAAAAAAGGGGTTAGGGTTCTTCATCTGTTCATCAACGAAAGGCGATAATTTTGATTTGTGACGAGCAATGGGTGAAGTCGAAGGTACGATTCAGATTTCGCTTTTATGAAATTTGAAGTTTTTACATAGAATCTAGCCGGATCGAGTCCGATTACAATGTCTCAGGCTGGACTAAACGGCTCGAACCTGCGGTTTTGATCTGGGAACCTAATGATCATGACTATGAGCCACCTTCTTACGATCCTGATAAGGCTAAGTACACACCAGAAGAAGAACTTGCCAGAATGTGCACACAAGTCAATCAAAGCGATGTATTATATTTGTTCTTCTGTTATCTTATGGTTTTGATTAGATGAAATCAATCAAATTGTGAATTTAAAGGGTTTGGTTGTATGTGAAACAGGGTTTTGATATCGACTTCTCCTCCTTCCGCTGCGTTTTCAACTACCATCAGGCTAATTTCGATTGTTCTGAATTCGTGGAGGAAACCAATGGGGATTATCTCAAGAGCCTCTCTCAGAAATCTCTTGAGGACTACAATGAAAAAGAGGTGAGAACTAGTCTCGTGTTTTTTTTTCCCTTTGGTTTAAAAACAAGGAGACAAATTTTGAGTTTGAATTTAGACAATTGGAGCAAACACTTGTTTATGAATGTGTGTGTTTTTTTTCTTTCTTTGTTTCAAAACAGGGGACAAAATATGAGTTTGTCAAGGTTGTCAAAGCCAATTTTCATGCCTCTTTTGCTGGGGCTATATTTCTCATAACGTTTGAAGTTATTGATCCTTATGATAACCTCATAAAATCCTTCCAAGCAAGGGTATGCCGCCACTTTCAAGATGACTTCACTGAGTTCGTCTTCTGCAGGCCAAAACCCAATCAAGGAAGTGTGTAAGCTTTTTTGTTTCTGTGAATTCATTGTGGACGATGATATATTATTTTCTGTTGAGGTTTATAGTATTCGTATTGTATTTGGCAGTGGAATATATATATATATATCTACAAGAAAGTGGTCAAGAAACTAAGGTATAACGGAATATATATATATATATCTACAAGGTTCTTTATTTTGATGTTAGATTCTTGTATGGTTGGTTTTCCATTAATTTTGTTCTCTTCACAGATTGGAGTAGGAGCTAAAAGGAGTGAGAACCAAGATATCTCATTAAATCGAATCGAGTTTGCTTATGGAAGCTGTTCCTATGGACTAATAAACTTATTGTACGAATTGTTAAACTTATTGTACGAGTTGTTGTGTAGCTCTCTCTTTTAGCTTGGTCTGTTGTTTACTATTCTCCTTCTTCTTTCGTCTGTATTGATAAAAAAAAAGAGAGTCAATTTACAATCTCATGTCTTTTAACTAAAGATAGATCAGAGGCAATCAAACTATAGACATACAAGAGGCGATATTACAGATTTATAACGGAATAATGGCCATGCTGGTGTACAGATGACCGCACTTATGAGTTCATTAGTATCCTAAGCAAAGATAACTCGAGTAACTTTGAGACTGGTCATGCTTTCAATGGCCCAAAGAAAACCCTGTAACTTAGCCTCCAACACATTGTCAACAGAGCAAAAGGACCTGTGAATATGTAATAATACCTTACCAAGCGTATTTCTCAAAACCCATGAAGCTCCTCCAAGCCTTTCATTTCTGTCCAATGGGAGACCAATGTTGCACTTAAGCCATGATTGAGGAGTTTTTTTTTCCATCTTTTGATCTATTTCACATATGGCGATGGAACAAAATCTTCACCATCTCTTTCCAAAGATAGAGAATGAAACCAAAATTCCATTTTATTTCCCTGATCTTGCTCATAGTTTCAACAGCAAAGCATTTTTCCCCTTCAAACATGAATTTGTTCTCTAAATATCAATATATTACGTCCTAAAAATGAAACTTCTTTTTGTGACGCTTGAACCTTTTGGTTAATATATTTTAGATACATCCACAACGTCCAAAGCATAAAACAATTTGTCCTTAGCTTAGAAAATTTAGTAAGTAGAAGAGAGACGATAGATTGAAAAAAGAAAAGAAAACACTCAAGTAAAAAAAGAAAAGAGCTGATAGGCGCACCAGAGACTTGCGTAGATGCTCTAGATTTTTAAGTCTGACTGTAATGTCTACTACATCAATGAGACTCACTAGCACATGGAGAACTGATAGACGCACCGGAGGATTTAATTTGTCCTCAATTACAAGACGTGCAGACAATCTTCTAATCATTGCAATCGTCCAACATGTATCTTCACACAAACATAAATAATAAGATAATCATAAGTGTATGATTCACTTCAAACATTACTTAAAGCATAAACATTAATTAAACTACCAAGTCTATTAAAATCAGTATACATAACTGTAAGATATCTCTCATTCGGCTACATCATTAATCAGATAAACGATTAGTGAAAGATAATCAACAATTTAGTCTTCTACGAATCGCTTATACTATTGAATATCGATGCATAAATGGTAAAACAAATTACCCTGATACTTTACTTGACGTTTATTACTCTACTAACCAACATTGTTTACTGGTGTTTGCATCTTAGATTTATGTAATGTGCATAAATTGTTCACTACATATTTTTTTTTACTTTTACTTTGTCACATACTATTTGTGCTGTTCTCACCTTTTCCCACAATGCATTTGCACTCTCTTTCTAAAACCATGCTATTTTCCTTTAGATAAATTTTCATTCCTAGTAGTTTTTTGAATAATTCATTAGTAATTTTTTCATCAAAATTATTTTTGAAAAGATGTTTGGCAAAAAGTGATAAAAATACTCCAAATATTTGGTGGATATAGAAATGATGTGCGAAAAGTTTGTTAAACACTAGAGTTCAACAATATCCTACGCACAAAATTCTACTGATGAATAAGTTTTGAAGATAGTTATATGAGTGATAGATAAAACAATACCCACCTTGACTTACTTGATAAATTGTCTCCAGCAAAACGATTGTTGTTTTTGGATTCTTTCAATTCATATTGTTCTTACAGCCATCATGGAGATCCTGCAGCCATCATGGAGATCCTTCAAGCAAATAAAAAAAGAAAGGTTAGAGATTTGAATGTGACAAATATAAAACATAAATAACGAGTATGTCATTTATACATTATGAAGTTATGTAGGTGTCCGTATATCAACAAACAAATGTGTTGGTAACATTTGTTTTGTTATGTCTACTCTGATTATTGTTATTCAATATCACAAAATTAATTGTATCTGAAACTATTATATTTTCTCAAAGTATTTTTATATGTGCCATCTTTTCAAAAGTAACAATAATCGAAAGTACAAGTTAGAAATAAAAAGGTAAAATCTGAGGGAAAAAAAGAAAAAAAAAGTGAGATTTTAGGCTACAACTAATTATCTTGCTGCATCGAATCTTGAACGAGTGAAATTGCCCATTTATGTTTAATCCTAGTTAATACTTGTTATGTGATCATTACATGTAATGTAAGATGTGCTTATTTTTTAAAAATGGTGATTACTCTATTTTGTTAAATTTTGGCATAAAACAAGAAAATATGAGAATTGGTAAAGATTTAAATTTGCATTGTGTACTAATTTTCTAAATATTGATTTGTGAAATTTGTGAAGTAATTTTCCGGATTTTCCAATATTCTTGTTTTTCAATCTATTTAATTGATCTTTGCTTTTCCTTGTTTTATCGTTTTATAATTTTACTATTTTATTTACGATTGTGTTTTTTATGTAACTTAATTTTATATATAAAAAAGAAGATAAATGTTTGAAATTGTTTTTTACGAAAACTGCAAGGCCAAGAGGCAAAGATCAAAATACTTAAAGGGACTTGCATGAAATAAATGAAAATTTAAAAAGCTAGGGTTTCTTTTCATCAACGAAAGGCGATAATTTTGATTCGTGAAGAGCAATGGGTGAAGTCATCGAAAATACGATTCAAATTTCGCTTCTATGAAATTTTAAGTTTTACATAGAATCTAGCCCAATCGATTCCCGATTACATGTCTCAAGCTGGACTAAATGGCTCGAACCTGCGATTTTGATGTGGGAACCTAATGATCATGACTATGAGCCACCTTCTTACGATCCTGATAAGGCTTAGTATACACCAGAAGAAGAATTTGCCAGAATGTGCACACAAGTCAACCAAAGCGATGTATTTGATTTTTTCTTATCTTATGGTTTTGATTTGATGATGAAATCAAATTAGCCTTAAAATTTGTAAATTTGAGGATATGGTTGTATGAGAAACAGGGGTTTGATATGACTTCTAATCCTTCCGCTGCGTTTTCAAGTAGGGTCCGACTTATATCAATTGGCATGAATTTGTGGACACGAGTCTCTATCAGAAATCTCTTGAGGACTACAATGAAAAAAAGGTGGGAACTAGTCTCTTTTTTTTTTTTTCCTTTGGTTTCAAAAAAAGGAGACAAATTTTGAGTTTGAATTTAGACAATTGGAGCAAATACTTGTTTATGTCATGAATATGTGTTTTCATTTCGCTGGGGCAACTTAGCAAGACTAAAGTTAGTAGGCCAAAATGCATATATCAAGAAACTTAAAGGGACTTGAATGAAATAAATGGGAAACTTAAGAAGTTAGGGTTTTCGTTCATCAACGCAAGGCGGTATATTTGATTCCTGACTGACGAGCGATGGGTTAATATGAATAATTTGAAGGTACGATTCAACTTTATTTACTCCAAAAATTAGGTTCTTCAACGCATAGCGATCTTTGATTCTTGAGGAGGCATGGGTGAACAATTCGGAGGTATGTATCCAATTAGGTTTCTCTCTAACCTCTAGGGTTTGTATGTTACTCAAATCGATCAATAAAAGCGGCCTGATTTGGATTTGTCATCTTAGTGCTGGAAATCCTGGCTCGAAGATGCATTTTTACTATGCACACCTGACGATCCTGAGTGCTTGAAGTATCACTATATGACAAAAACCGAGAAAGATGAGCCTCAGCTCACAGTAGAGCAAGAAATTGCAGAGATGAACAAACAAATCTACGAGAGTGAGGTTTTTTTTTTTAATCCTAACGATGCACGGCTAATTTCATCATTCAGTTTATAAATAATCGATTGAAATATTGGGTTTTGTGTTAGGGGTTTGATATTGATTACTCCATGTTCCGCTGCCTATTCAACTACCATCTTGTTGATCCGGATGATCATGATTTTCTTAAAGAGCCAGAAAACGACGGTGATTTAATGAAGAGGGTTTCTCAAGAATCTCTTAAGCGCTACAATCAAGAAAAGGTCAAAACCTAATCCCTGATGTGCTTTTGTATATTTGTTGTATAGACGTTGATGAGGAGCTCTTCGTTTGATATGTTGTGCTCTTCGTTTTTTAATTCATTATGAATGTTTCCTCCAGGAGACGGCATTTGAATTTGTGGAGGTTGAGAAAGCCAATTATCACTTTTGTTGTGGGTTTATGTTTCTCATCACGTTTTACGTGTTGGATCCGTTTGATCACCAGAGAAAAACCTTCCAAGCTAGGATCTTTTACTCTTCTATTTACCCGACTGAATACGTCTTTTGTAGGCCGAAACCTGATCCAAACGGTACTTCTTTCATTTCCAACTTCCTAAGATTACTTGGTGTCATAGAAAAAGCATAAGTGATTCATTATATTTGTGTCTCTTTCTCTTGTTTAAAGATGTGTATAACTTGTGAAGTTTATCTTTATCTTTATTTTCTGCTGAAAACGGTTGTGAACAAAATCCCTCCTATAACAGTCTCTACTTTGATGGATCATTTACTTTACGTTGATGTTTTAATCTATTAAACATGGTTACTCTATGTGCTTTTTGACACTTATATTATTTATGGATTGTTTTGGCAGTTCACTCTGATGAAAGCTCGGAGGAAGATGTGGAAAAAGGTATATGAAAGCTCCATCTTTTGTCGACTAAAACCATAGGTGGGGTATGTTTGCCTCTTTTAATTTTATTGTTTACTTCTCTAACTGCGGAAAAAGATGTCAAAAGTATTTTATATGAAATATCATCTATAACAAATTGATTTACGTTGATGTTAATATATTGAATTGATTTTCTTATGTGCTCTACTTCAGGATGGACATGAGCACCAGCAAATCTGGATTCCTTCTCAAAGCCTCTTGTGTTCTCTACAAATCAATGGGGAAAAAGAAATACAGAGTTCTAACAACTCTTGTAGATGGATATTTCATTTACCTTTGTTTATTGACATCTCTCGGCAGTCCCAACGCACTCCACTACCAAAAACATTAATCCAAATACTATAAATCTCTCAACAGAAGAACAAGCTGCAAAAAATAAATATAGAGCGAACTTCACAAGCTAAACCTATTTTACTCAGTGAAAGTAAATTAGAATGTATTCAACAGTGAATCCAAAAGTATAGCCTAACGTACAGAAAAAATTACACTTATGGTTTGCGACTTCACCAGCTTTAACCCATACACATGTTCATGATTGTAGAATTTCATATAGGCCTTGAAGACCTTGTGGAAGTCGTGAGCGCTCGTCCAAACAAAAGAATCAACACTGGAGCTTAACAACTCTTTATTTCAACGAAAATTTGTGTATCTATGATTCTACTTGCCTTTCTTAAATCTCAACCTTGCGAAAATTAACTTAAATTGTATGCTTTCTTACCCATTTTCCTGTCTTGACTCTCGCATATTATTTAGAATTTCTTTGTCATTTTAATATCAGATCATCTACTTGTTTTTCTTTTGACGGCATTCAAATAATGGTTTATGGGACTAAAAAAAAAGATTTGTAGCCATTTTATTGGTCAAGTTCTACAGTTAAAAGATGAATTCTGACATTTTCAAAAATAAATCTTTTACATCCACCACTGAGTGGAAGGTACTTTTTAGCATTCTAGTGAGATATGTTTAGTCGTTTAGGTTTTGTTATTTCAAGTTGGAGAAAGCTGTTTTTGGTTTGTCTAAACACAAACATTTTTATTTCATGGTGGTGAACACTACAAGGGGTTTTTGTTTTTTTTGTTTTTTGTGGGTTTTGCTTAATGTCTTGTTATGAAAATATATAACCTCTTAAAATTATGAAACCCCAACCAAGTCTAAAGTCATTATAAATAAATCCAAATCTATGATTCAATAAGGGCCCCTTAATGCAACAGAGTAATATATGTATCCCGATATGTAGTCTTTAATTTATTTATTTTATCATAGGTATAATAAAAAAAACACAACGTGGGGTATTAATAAAACAAAAAGTGGGATTTAATGATATTTTTTATGATACAATACCGTAACTAAAGATATATTATGACATTCCAAGGGGGATATTATTGTCTAGGTAAAACTACGAGGGAAAAGGCAAAGAGCAAGAAGCTTAGAGAGATTTAATGTAATTAGAAATAGTTTAATCGAGAGAGACAAAGGGGAACGCATCTAAAGAGACACTTTCCCAAAAATAGGATTCTTCAACGACGCTGCTTGATATTTGATTCGTGAAGAGCGATGGGTGAAGAATTTGATGGTACGAATCCAACTTGGTTTCTCTAATCTTTAGGGTTTTTTTTCATATATATAAAAATTCTGGGATAGGTTATCAAAATCCTGATTCTGATTAATCATGAGAAACTTTTTTTCGTCAATATACGTTTTTTATTACTATATTACCAAATATTCTGGATAGTATAAGACTATAAGTTAACGTGGGATAGACGGAAAAAAAATAGAAAAAGTTAACGTGAGACGGGCGACCAAAAAAAGAAGACTTATTATGGTACGAATACGGCGTCGCATAGAGGCCTAAGAAGAATTACAAAGTGTCCAAAAAGGAGACTATAGTGTGTGTGCGCCAAGAGTTATTAAGAAAGCTATCACGTTGTCGAAGAGCGTCACACGTAGCCTTCGAAGGAAAGTGATTGTAAGAATCGACAAAGAAACCGGGGAAGCAATGGCTGTGAGGTGAAAATGTTGAGCCTCGGCTACAACTAATTAATTATCTTGCTACATGGAATCGCGTACGAATGAAGTTACCCATTTAAAGTGTATGTCTAATTGTGGTTAATTCTTATTAATGTCAACATCACTTATACCACGTATTGCATTCACTTTCATCTAAAAACATAGTTACTTATCAGGGTGACTTGGCAATATAGTTTTGTTGTAATGAAATAACTAGATTATATCTTGTGCGCTTGAACGGGAACTATTTTTTAGTTATGTAATATAATTGTATTTTTGTTTTTGTTTAGATATAATTTTTTAATAAATGATAATTTTTTTTTGTTTAGATATATTTTGTATGTATTAATTTTTTTTTTTAGTATTATATATAACCGCGATTAGAAAAACAATATTTTAATCCGTCTGTTCATATTAATCTGAAAAGTATCACGATTATAAAAATATCATTATAACATGCCTACTTATATTAATCCAAAAAGGATCGCGATTATCAAAACATAATTCAAACCCGTTCGTTCATATTATTTTTATATTTTAAATATTTATTAAGTTTAAATATTTAAAATTTTACAGTTATTTAATAAAAATATACAATAATAAATCATTTTCATCTCTGTTATTAAAAAATATATAATAATAATTTATTTAATAATTTTTGATAAATAATATAATCTATATTTAAGGAAATCTCAAATCTATATTAAAATTTAAATTTTCGGATTCTATTAAAATTAAAATTAAAAATACACTATTTTATTAATATTACACTAAATTGATTTGTTTGGTAAATCTAAATTGAAATGAAATTAATATTTTTGTTTGACAATAAAAATATTAATTATCCAAAAACAGAATAGTAGAAGATTAAAAAAATTATGTTTGGACACAAAAAATGTTTTTTTTTAATCGTATAAATAAAAGATATGCAGAAGAAACGCTTTCTTAAAAGGGAGAGTTTCAGATTTAACCCATATTTCAAAGTCAAACACAAAACTAACCTCTTTTTTCTCTCTCTCTCCAACTTTTGCCATTTTCTCACAATTTTATCCTTTCCACTTAAACTATTAACGAAAATGCCATTATACATCTAATAAATCGATTTTTCTTTAATTGGCTAAAGTCTTCTTGGACTTTCTAAAGACTTTTTAATTACGAGAATGCCATCGTCTTCAATACCTTCAACCACCATGAACAACCATGAAAATGGGATAAATGCTTCTCAACCAATTTTTAAGCTGTAATAAGTAAATATTTGAGCTCATTCACTCATAACCTTCCTCATTCTTTCATAATTTCTTCTCCAAAACATCTAGGCTAAGTTACAATGCCAAAAGTCATGCATTTTTGGTGATTTCTGGTTACTTGACATCTGGGTTGCTTATTTTTGGTGAAATCCTGAGTTCTGGATGCTTAAAAGAACTATAGCCGAGCTCAATTTTGTTAAAGGTAATCGTCACACTTCAATTTCTCCATATTTCAGTTTTCATATCGCGAAAGTAGACTTCTCGTGAACTATTCTGAAGTCTACTAGTCAGCATAAGGTTATTTTTGCAATTGACTTTTAAAAAGTAGACTTCTTTAAACCTCACGAGAAGTCTACTCGATATCCTTTGAAAACAAAAAAAATCATAGTAGACTTCATCTGACGGCTTAAGAAGTCTACGAAAGAAAAGAAGTTATTTTTGTAGTTGACCGTATTTTGACTTTTTAATGTAGACTTCTAACCGAAGTCTACTGTTTACGTCTGCACACGAAGTCTACATTTAGGTTACTTTTGCATTTTGACCAAAAACGTATAGGTCATTTTTGTATTTGACTTATGTTTTTCAAAAATTAAAAAATTAAAAAAAATTCAAAAAGCTTCAGTAGACTTCACAAAGAAGTCTACAAACAGTAGACTTCTATGTGAAGTCTACTTATTGTGTTCGGTCAAACTTAGAATGAATATTTTTTTGAGTAGACTTCATTGTGAAGTCTACTAAAAAAATTCAATTGCAAAAATAACCTTTTTTGTTCCGTAGACTTCTATTTATAAAGTAGACTTCAAACGTAGACTGCCAGAGAAGTCTACTCTTACATGAAGTCTACAATAGAAGTCTACTGTGTTAGTCAACGCGGTGGTCAATTGCAAAAGTAACCTTTTTTGCCTGAAGTCTACAACTGAAGTCTACTGAAGGAAAATTCAACGGAATGGTCAATTGCAAAAATAACCTTTTTTTTAGTAGACTTCAGTAGTAGACTTCTCAATGAAAAAGTAGACTTCTTCTCCAGTCTACATTCGAAGTCTAAATAAGAAGTCTACTTTCGAATGTTTTTTTAAAAACGCGTTTTAAGCAAATGTATAAAATATTTTTCAAACTTTTTGGTTCAGAATTGCCTCTTATTAGGTGATTGAGCTACCCATTGAATTTTATCTCTTTTCATTGGATATTCATGGTGGAATCAGAAGTTTCAATTTTTAAGATACTTAGCTTATAAAAATAGACTTCGTAGTGAAGTCTACGTTCTAAGTCTGCACTAGAAGTCTACGTTTATACGTTTTTGTAAAAACGCCATTTAAGCAAATCTATAAAAAAAATTTCAAATTTTTTTGTTTACAATTGTTTATTAATTAGTGATTGAACTACCTAGGGCTTTTTATTCCGTTTCATTGAATATTTCTTGTTGAATCAGAATTTTCGATTTTTAAGGTACTCAGCTTATCAAAGTAGACTTCATCGTGAAGTCTACTTTGATACAAAAAGTCTCTATGAGTGTTTGCTAATACGGTTTATATGGTTATTTTTCTGAGGATGGCTCAAATTTCAGACTTATAATTCTTATCATAATAAAAATTTTTTGGCATACTTTATAGGCAATTAAAACATGTTTATCTGGAATTAGTTTGTAGAACTTTTCTTTGCATTATCACTCTGGATTATATGATGTTTGTGTCTATATAGAATAACTTAATTATATTAACAAGACATTCTGCATAAAAAAGCATCACATTTGATATATACACATAAAAATTACAATTGAAAATCCAGCTGTGGTGTAGACATCAGCACCAAATCTAAAAAACCAAGGGAGAAAGGGAATAAGATGGAAAATCCAAGTATACTTCATATATTTTGTCAAACAGAACTCTGAATAAGCCTAAATAAACGTAATA